TAACCTGAGCAGGCCTGGCGGAGTGGCTCAAGTGGAGAGCACCTACCTATCAAGTGTGAGTTCAAACCCAGTAGGCCCCCAAAAAAGTGAGAAAGAGAGAGAAGGGAAGAGAGAAGCAGAGACAAGGACTGTGAGCTGCGTGAGGGCAGGAGAGTTTTTTAGTCACCAATTACATGGTAGGTGCTTCACTGACAGTTGCCATGCAAGGAAATAATCATCCTACAAGATTCAGGTCACCAAGAAGCAGACAGGAGGAATGGTGGCCTCCTCCCTGGGCCAGGTACTCATAAGTCACTCTCCAAACATGGGCATTTCCATGGACCCATCCACATCTCTGCCACGTGCCATCCCATCTCTCTGTGGGCTGCATGTCTGCGTGGCTGAGGGCATTCTGCCTGAGCGCCTGCTGGGCACTGGGAGATGACCCACTGCTCCTGCCTGGTCTGACCATGGGGAAGGACGGGAAGCCAGTCTCTACTCTGCTGAGAGGCCCTTTGTGTATGCCGAGCTGGACGGTGACCTGGACCCCCCCAGAGTGGCCTCTCCAATGACGATGAAAGTGTGTTTTGCTTTTTTGATGAATGGATTTGGTTAAATGTTTTCTTACTTTTTCCTAGACATCGCCTGGTGGTATTACCAGTATCAGAGAGGTAAAAAAAGTTTACACTAACTTGACTACTTGCAAAGGAAGAACTTGTCAACCAAGTACACATCTTGCAGTTAGCAAACTTGACCTGTGTGGGAACAGCAGGGAAAGTTGTTTTAGAGATAAGTTGCAGGAAAAGCTTTGCTCCTTCCTAGAAACTGACATGTTTTCCTTTCATGGGCAAGAAGACATCTCTAAAAACTCTGGGCTGACTCACGAATCCAGTACAGTAACTGCTGAGAAGAAAGGACCAAATCTCTATATTCTCCTTTTCCCTTGGGTCTTGACTTCAAGTCTAGCATCAGTTTCCAAGACAGTTTTTCTTTATCTGTTTTTATTGTATTGTTACCTTCCCTGTGATCAGCCGTCAGTCCTTTGTACAACAAAGAACGTGTTTAAGTAACAGATCAGAGGGAAATAGAGTCTGTGGATAAGGTCGGTGGATGGCACGGTAAGAAGGCAAAGCAAGAAATCAAAACTCCATGCCTCTGGACCAGGCAGGTGACATACATGGATTAAAAGAGCTACTGGTGAATGACTGGGAACCCTAAAGGCTTCCCTGAGGGTTCACCCGTGCTCAGCCATAGTGGACAGTTTCCTGTGAGAATCTGAGACTCAAGTTATCAAACAAGCCCATGTTTCAAGAGAAATCAGAAATCGAAACTTGGATCTGAAGTCCAGGAGTTGATGCTTGCTGCTGTTGGTCACAGCTGTTGTCATGAGCCCAACAGAGGAGGCACCTCACTGGGAGACCATAGGCTTGGGCTGTCCTACCACTCCCAGGCTGAGGGTCTAACTCCAACACAGGCACAGGGCTAGTAGGCAGCAAGCCTTGTCACAAAGCACTTGCGATTGGTGCTGGAAGAAAACAGAAGCCACTGTGGGGCACAGGGAATCCAGGTCTGATGAAAGAGGCCTGGACTGACTGGAGTTAAGAGACACCTGTGTCACCCAGGATTCAGGCAAAAGCAGTTAGTGACAGAGCTTGGAAGAGATCTATGCTGGGAGCCCTTAGCGTGGGCTCCACGTGGTGAAAAGGTACAGGAGCTCTCTGGAGGTGTAGGCAACAACTGCCATGATTGGGCATACGGGCTTTTCCCTGAGAGGAGAAAGGTCCAAAGCTTTCATCCCCCTCAGGATAGGCTGAGACCCTAAAACACTGAGAACCGTTTGATCTAAACCACTGTCCACCGGGGGAGTGCCTGCGTAGCCGCCTCCCCCCACAGTTGTTTACAAGTAGACACTCAGTCACCTTCTCTATTAGGATAACTGTTACCGGGAGGACAACAGCCTTCCCACCCCATGCCACACACAAAGTTGCACAAAACCTTTTTGTGGGTTTTAAAAAGCACTTTGCAAAGGTATCCTGACTGATTCTTGGCATGCAGTGATTCCCCTAATATGAAATCTCTAGGTTTATTTTGATCTGTCATCCACACTCGATCAGCTTAGTAACTGGCTTGTCATCATTTTTAATAAGGAAAATCATAAAAACAAGCAGATTCTGGCACTGAAGACTCTTAACAACCCTGGAAGGAGCTGATAATTCTCTTTTGTTCTCCAACCAGGGAGCTGGGTGAACCTCCTCCCTTTACCGGGACTGGCTGCCAACATCCAAGGAACCTCTGAGGGGCCGTGGGAGGTTTGTGAGAACCACTGACCCCTTCTGAAGTTACTTCTGATATATTTACAGTGGCCAGAGCCATGATTACAAAGAAAGGAAAGAGAGAGCCCGTGTGAGGGACAGGATTGTCCAGGTGTGGGCACCCCCAAAGGTTGCCACAGCTATGGACAAGTTAAAAAGCCCTGACTCATGACAGTCTCGAGCAGCATGAGTTTGCAAAGAAATGCATTAAAATTGAGAGTAAAGTGTAGCTCCCATTAGTGAGAGACAGCATGAAATATTTCAGAAATATTTGCTTGTATTTATAAGATACAGTTTTTTTAAAAAAAAAGAAGAAAAATTGAGAATTGCTGGTTTAAGTCCCTCATATCCACAGGCAGGCTATTTCCAAGCCCTAATGACTTGACTTCTCTCTGGTGTCACTGCAGCCTGGCAGTCAGGAGGATGATGAAAAGACAACACAAAACAAAACCTCGGCCACCACTTTCCCACTGTCCAGCTATCACGCCATCCATTTGATGTGGAAATCAATCGTGATGCCCAGACAGCAAACTAATCATTTATTAACCAAGCCCAGTTCCACCTTAATGAAGCAAGTTTAACCATTGATATTTCAGTAATTATTTGGTGCACTTTTAATAAAGGTGTTTGAAAGCAAGGTCTGTTTCTCAATCAGAATTCTTTTACACTTCTGCAAAGAAGTTTCCCTGAGCCTGAGAGGAGTTTAGTCATAGGAAGTTCCAGAAATAACAATACTGCAAGAAAAACTTTTATGCTTCTGGATAAGATAAACCTTGACGGGTAGACCAGACACCTTCAAAAACGGATCATTTCTTCTAAAGGTCCCATATTTTCATCCTTCTTACGTATATTTCAGTGTGGTTTTTAGCTGCTTCTCTTCCCTTTACCTGGAACACCTGGACAACACCCAGAGGCTCCCGAGGGGCAGTCGGAAGGATACAAAAGTCTCTGCAGACCTTTTGAGGTTTAGCTGTGCAGAATGCAGTTAAATGTGTGTGTCTTTATAACTATGTCCTTAAGACAACTGCTGGGAGATTTGAACCAATGATTATTTCTACCTTCAAATGAGTTTAAGGAATCTGGAAAAAATATATGTGAGCATTCTGCATCAGACTTATGTGAGGGCTGGCGGAGTGGCTCAAGTGGTAGAGCGTCAGACTAGCAAGTGCAAGGCCCTGAGTTCAAGCCCCAGTGCCACCAAAAAAATAATAATAATTGCACACGCATTGGACTTCTATGGATTCTCCCCTTTCCTTTCCAAGAATTGGCCCTTCAATTTGCATAGAAACCTTCGGTGTTTAGATAATTGCTACTTATTAGCTACAAACATAACCGTAATTAAAGGCTCTTCAAGAATTATAAGGAAAATTGGCCACTTGCCACTATGCTGTGTCAACAGAGTCTTTTGTTTGCTTGAGTCATCATCTGCCCAGCTCATGAGAAAGGTAACGGCTAGGAGTTGTTACAGGTTGCTGGAGCCTTGCTAAAACGATCATTACCTTTGGGAGTCTGGACAAGTACAGGCTTTGATGAATTCTTTAATATTGAGATCAAAGTTTCAAAAGGAAAAGTGACAATGGCAGAGAAAATCTGCACAAAGTCCAGCCCTGATCAGGGAGCTGCCCAGGGCCCAATGCACCTGCCGTCCAGGCAGACGTAGCCTGGCCTCGCTCTGCTCACCGTGTGACATGGTATGTGCGTGTTCTCAGCAGCCTGCCTGGCCACTGTTTGTGCCAGCCTGGATTTAGTTGTACAGTACGTGGATCTGGAAATGTCTGCATGTTAACAACGGGCAGAAAAGGAGGAAGGGCTAGCTGAGAACTGATTCTAGATTGGAATGAATCTATACAAAGTGTTCTGGGGGGGGCCGAGGAACAGCTCCCTTACCCCTCTGTGATGCTAAAACATCAAAACTCCCACCGGTTTGTGGCATGAACTTTGAGATGCTGGCATGGGACATGGGTAGGTTTCTTGTTTTAATTGACAGACACTGTCTACCAGACTAGGGCAGCTGGACTGCACCTACTATAGTGTCCTACAGATACACACGGGAGACACAGCTACACCGGTGTCATTACAGCCCTCTCTAGAGCTCTTCCAAAACCTTCCGAGCTTTTACTTTCACAACATGGCTCCCACTTAGGTCATTTTCCTGGTACTCAAGGATATGCCACAGACATTATGGAACAACAAGCGCTAAAATACATTCAGATTTTTAAAGTGATATTGAATAAGATTTAATATTTGAACTTTTTACTAAGCTCACCTTTCTCTACTCAGCTCACATGTGACAACTCATCTTATTTTTTCCTAAAATGATTTGTTCCCCTTTGCTGTTGGAGGAGGTTTCTCATTCTGGTCACATGTTTCTGAACATTCAGGAGGTTCGGTGGGCGGCAATTTGAATATGCAAATAGGGTGTTTTGAAGGAAAGGAAAATGTCCTCGTATGGGTGCATTTGAACACTTCCACCCTCATCTCATCTCAGACATGGAACTCCCTCCTTCTTGGTGTCTGTTACACCTGGAGTAAAGGAGTGGCCCAATGGTGACACAGACAGTGACTGGGCAGGGAAGTGGTGCTCAGGCCATCTGCAGTGAGACCCTACCCTGTGTCCCAGATCAGAGCACCACTCTTCTGACAGCCCAGACTGAGGGCTGACGGGAATGACGACAAGGCCACACTCTGACCTATGTCCTCTGCTTCCAGATAAGATTGAAGACGAGCTGGAGATGACCATGGTGTGCCACCGGCCTGAGGGACTGGAGCAACTTGAGGCCCAGACCAATTTCACCAAGAGAGAGCTGCAAGTCCTTTATCGAGGCTTCAAAAATGTAAGACCCCCACAGGCGCCCAAGCCAAGTGCCGCTGCCCATAGGGACTAAACTCTCCAAATGCCACAGAAGCTTCCCACGTGTGTAACCTACTCTACCCAGGGGACACAGAGCAAGGTCATCTGGTAAGAAAGTAAGGCCCAGACAAGGGCAAGTCAATTTCTGCAGACGGGAAATTCACCAGCTGCACAGACACATCACAAGGGGACGCCACCTCGGAAAATTCACCCTGGGTCAGGAGCTAGCCTGAGTTCACACACCCACACTTTCCATTCCGTGGCATTCTCAAAATGATAAGCTTTAGCACAACTGACTTATGCTAATCTAGCTCACGTAGACTGATGTGTGATCTTGAACGTCACTGTACCAACTTACCCTGAAAAGTAGAACTGACATTGGGACCAGACACTCCTGTCTTCTTGCTGGGACCTCTCTCCCTGTGAGCACCATGGAAAGCCAAGTTAAAAGCAAGGTGGAAAAAGGGGACAGGAAGTCCAAGTTGGTTCATTCACATGGAAACATCCCTGCCTTCTCTGGGCAGTGGGAGACCTCCCAGATCCCATACTGGATATCGATTTGGGATTTAAAGCTTAAATCTTAGAGCACAATCTTAAGCCCAAATCCTGGGGTTGTGTGGGGTACAGAGAAGTTGTCCTGGTCACCCTCCCACCAGGTGCAGCCTGCAGGTAGAGCTTGGTCAATTACACACTGACCACAATCACACTGCTCTCCCGGGTGCTGGAGAGGGATTGACAAATTCTTATAGGTCACCTGGCAGCACTGGCATGGCCTACCTCCTAGGATAGCGTCAGCTGTGCCTGTCTTGTGCCTGGCTTTCAATCATCAGGGCTTCTTGACTTCTGATCCTAAAGAGGCCAGGTTCACAGTGGCCATCTTGGTTGGAGCAGAGCACTGGGACAAGTTTGTCCATCTGGGCACTGTGCTGAGCGGGAACAGCATCCAGAAAAGGGAAGAAAGCAACATTGCTTAGCATCTGCCCTGAGCTCACTATCACGTGATACAGACTGGTGTATTATCCCCACAATAGCCTTGTGGGAAGGGCACCATAGCCCCATTCTACAGGTAAGGATGCACGGATCAGAGACTGACTTGACCAAAGTCACAAAGCTTAGAAGAGACTTCACCAGGACCCAAATGCACATCTTCCTAACCCTAAAGTCCAAACTTTGCAGTGTACAGTGTCCATTCTCTGATAACATTCCACCATTTTGCAAAGCAGATTCAGCCTAACATAGGATCACCTCCCAGCCACCCACCTCAGAGATATAGAAGTACCCTTGCCCACCAGGGATCAGGAAGAACCCCAAGTCCCAAGGATGGGTCAGACTCCTCCCACTGATGCTCTGTCCCCTTCCTGCAGGAGTGCCCCAGTGGTGTGGTCAATGAAGAGACGTTCAAGCAGATCTATGCCCAGTTTTTCCCCCATGGAGGTGAGTCTGACCTTGACAAACATCCTCCTGGTTCCCTCTCCAATGAGCAGACTTCCCTTCCTGCAAGTCCACCCTTCCTCATCAACGGCCTCCTCCTGAAGGGAGGGGGAGAATTCACAGCAAGATGTCCCCCCTTCTTACAAGGTGTGGGATTCTCTAAAGCTCTGGCTGAAAGGAGCCCTGAAAATATTGTCTGGGGCAAAACTTTGCCATTGCAGTTCTACCATTGCCCCAGACACTTTCAATTCTTTCCCCTAAAGCAGGTCAGGCGAGCTGAAATTTTGGAGAGGGACTTTATAAATACTAGGGATAAAAAGAAACGAATCCAAAAGGATGCAGGGAGAATGAAGTTGTGTCTATAAAGCCAGATTAGCGAGTGCACCTGCTCCTGTGGGAAGCAGTTCTGACCCATGGACCTCCGGCCATATCAATAGGACTTCCATGTGTCACATGCCACCCTGTGTCCTGTCCCCACAAGTCATCTGCTGCAGAATCCCTTCCCTGAGTCCTTACAAAACTGATATCCAAGTGTCCCAAACACTTCCCAGGCCCCGTTTACGGTGAGCCTTGTCACCAGCAGACAGGCACCTCCCCGGGTGTGGGATCAGTGTAAGGCCCCTGCTAAAATTGAGGGGAAGCAGCTGTCTCAAGGGGACACCAGAGTTCTGTGCAGCCAGGCTTTGATGTGATCTCAATTATATGGCAGAGGTGGCTGCAGGGTGGCCAGTGGCCACTTCTTCAAAACTTTCAAAAGCTAGTTCATGCTCCATCCCATTGGACAGAGACAGGAAAGGGAAGCTCAGAGAAGTTGTGTTACATGACAACAGGCACACAGCTATGTGGTGACAACTGTGCTCCTGCCATGGCATGGCTTGGCCTCCCTGGACGGTAACTATGCCATTCCCCCAGCAGAGATTACACACTTGGACAGGCAGGGAACCTCTCTCTAGAGATGGTGGGCTGAAGCCATCAGGGCCTGTCTTACCTCTGCTAGAATCAGCTTCTCATCTAAGCCCAGGGGTGACATGAATGGCACAGCTTCCCCCTTCCCACCACCCCAGCGTCACCCCTTCTCCTGATTGACACCGCCTCTGTGTCTCTGCCTCCCCCTGTGGAGCCTCGGCTTCCCACCGCTCTGCTCTCTACCTTGCAGACGCGAGTGCCTATGCCCATTACCTCTTCAACGCCTTCGACACCACCCAGACGGGCTCCGTGAAGTTCGAGGTACGTACGTGTGTCTCCTGGGACTCCACTCTAGGTGGCGGGGGTCTGGGGGACACGGTTGTATTGTGGATCGCTGTCAGTCAAGACAAACTTTGTCCATTTAACAAACACTTCCTGAAGACAGAGAGAAGCAACTTGCCCCTCCCTCCATCAGGCACCGGGACACTGGGGGGTAACAGAGCAAACGAGAGTTCAGTTGCTACTGTCTGCTAGCCAGGTGGCAGCCTCTAATTGCACTAATTGAATCACTTAGTCCTCACAATAACCCAACGAGGTGGAGTTGTATTCTTGATTACCATGATACAGGAGAGGAAAGTGAGGCAAAGAAAGATTGAGTCAAAGAGCTGGAAAGGGGTTGAGGAGAGCTTTGAGCTCAGGCAGTGTGCTTCCATAGCCTGTGGTCATGGTGGTTGACTGCACAACCCCTTGAATGACAAGCAGTCATTGCAGCAGGAACAGAGGGCCTGCGTCTAGCTGGGTCTGGAGGCAGCACACACAGCTCCATCCTTCCTCAAACACTGGGGCAGCTAAGCCTGGCTGTATTCTTCAGGCTGACCAGAGGACATAGCCATCTGCAAAAGCACCCTCCTCACACCCAGAGACCTGTCTTCTCATTAATGTCACTCCTACCTTTTCCACTTCCCAGGACTTTGTGACTGCGCTGTCCATTTTACTGAGAGGAAGTGTCTATGAGAAACTAAGGTGGACATTTAACCTATATGACATCAATAAAGACGGATACATAAACAAGGAGGTAAGTGAGCTGGGTGAAGGGCATGAGACAGGTACAATGAAGATGGCGGAGAAAATCAAACCCTCCCCGTCACAAGGATGACACTGTCTGAGTGAGGTGGGGTCTGTCCCTAGCAAAGTGAGGGCCACCTGTGGCCTCCCTGCCCTGCTCCCTGCTCCAATGCTCTCTGGAGAGGACTAGCATCTTCCTCTCGCTGGGTCATGCAGACTCACCCACGGCTGTGAACGACTCATCTCAGTGTGGAACCTGAGGACAGGGGAGCAGCCACCAGCTCAGGCTCGAGGTGGGGATTGTAGAAAGGCAGGCAGCGACAAGAAGAACCAGACTTTTCAGGAAGAGCAGAAGGTCACTTGGATCACATCGTCCTCAACCTATTCTGTCTACTAACAAAACCCAGAAAGGAAAGACGGAAGTGCAGCCATCTCTGGAGAGATCATCCCAAAGACCCCAGAATCTTCCCTGCTGAGTCTTAGCTGAGGGTCAGACCATGGGTCCATCTCAAAACTGCCCCTGGCTTTACCGCATCCTGGTGTCTCATTGAAGCATGAATTTGTCCTCAACAACCACTTATTGAGCTCCTCCGCGCCAGGCATGGTGCCTGGAGCTGTGGACACCATCTTAACCATCACCTCAGCCCTGCAAGGATCTGTTCTCTGTGCTTTTTACATCTTTATTAGCATAATTAGTTGTCCAAAGGGGTTCCACTGTGATTTTTCCATACATGCAGACAATAGACCCCAGCCATTCACTCCCTCTGTCATTCCCCCTTTTCGTTCCCCCTTCTTAAAACAATTTCAACAGGTTTCATTTTGTTTTATTTTCATCCATGTTCACCCCTCTGTACCTTCTCCTTTCACCCTCCTCCCCACTGGTGCCCACCCTCAAACAGAACCTGTTTTACTTCCTCTCCTTCATTTTTAAGAACTAGATTCAGTTCTTATACAGATAGAGCTAGTGCTCAGAGAGTATACCCAGCCTCGTTCCCATCTGTTCAGTCATGGGTTTGCTCAAAGCGGATTGAGGGTTATTCCGTATTCCGGTGCTAGAGACAGAGGTGAGCGGTCAGACAGCCTGGCTCTCACGAAGTGATGGAGAGGGATGGAAGATAAGCAGGCTAAGTGCAGATGGGCAGGTAGAAGATGTTTTGACAAGGACAGTCAGCAAGGGCCTGTCTAAGGTGTTGTACCAGCCAGGAAAAGTATTCCAGGCAGAAGCAACGGCCACTGGAGAGTCTCTGAGGCAAGACGGAGCTCCCAGGGTCCTGGACAGAAAGCCACTGGCTGCAGATGGGGGTGTTCAGGAGAAGCCAGCACAATGGAGTTGGCACCAGCAGAGCCAGAGGCTGGAGGACTGGGACAGAGGCTACATCCCTCCCCACTGGGAAGCTGCTCGGTGGACGCAGACTGTGAAAGGCACTGAGTGTGAAAACTGACTCAAAGACAATTAGAAAATCAGAATATCACGGTACCATTAGAGAAGTTGGAGTCAAGTCACAATTTAAAATCTTCCCACAAAGAAATGCTGTAGGTCACCCAGATAACTTCCTGGTAGATTATCATAGGAATCCTAAAAAAAGTGATAAAATAGAAAAGGAACAATCTCAAGTCATCTGATAAATCCAAAAGAACCCTAATCCCCAACCAGAAAAAAAAAAGCCTTACAGAGAAAACTATTCATGAACACATCAAGTATCGGACATAACTCAACAACGTGAAAGGCGCACTGTCCCTGAGGTCAGCAATAAAACCACAAAGCTGAGATCAGAAAAATAAGCTTAAGTGCAATATAGATGGGCAAGGAAGAATTAAAAGTGTCTTTATCCATAACAATAGGTTGTGCTCATAGACAACCCTGAGTCTACAAAGAAAGTAGTAGAAAGAATACACAAACCCAGCAAAGTAACAGCACACACATTCTAGTGACGAAGTCATTTGTATTTCTGTGTCCATGTGCAACAGCAATTGGAAAATTAAGTGATGAAAAAACTCCACTTAAAATAGCATCAAAACGCACAAAATACTACGTGACGAACTTGAGAAAGCAGCACTTGTACACTGAAAACTACCAATTATTGCTGAAAGTAAAGACCTAAGTAAACGCGGGAATATATCGTGCTTTTGGGTTGGAAGACACAATGTAATTGAAATGTATGTTCTCACAAATTTGATTTACAGATTCAGTGCAGTCACAACCAAAATGCCAGCAGACATTTTGTAGACACCGATAGGTTGATTAAAACGTATACAAAATGCAAAGAACTGAAAATAACCAAATCAACCATATTCCGTATCTTGAGTGCGTGGAGGTGACATGAGGACAGACATTGGTCAAACCTCATCAAACAATACACTTTAATGGATGAATTTGTTGCTCCAATAAATTTGAATTTTTTTTAAAGTACAGTTGTTTCGAGGGGAAGTGCCTAGTCACTAGACAGTGTTAAAAAATGTATGAAATGAAAAACCCCATCAAAGCAGAAAAAGAAAACACGAGTCCAATCTTCCTTAAAATATAGACCATGAGCTCTAAGTAAAATACTGGGAAATTAATCCCAGCCCTCCATTGAAAGAAATGCTCCTGATCCAGATAGGTTCATTGCAGGACCGATTTCAATAATGGAGAAAGTCTATTAAGTAATTCATCATATCAGTTTATCAAAAGATTAAGCCACATGATGCTAAAATCACATTCGACAAAATTTACTGTCTCTTCTTGGTAATTTTTAAAACTCTTAATAAGCTAGGCATAAAATATGTCTTCAGTAAAAGAGAAAACACCCCAGCCTGATGCAGTTCCACATGGTGACAGACAAGGCTGCGCAGGGCAGCCACCCCCCTTCTCCAGCATCGCCCAAAGTTCTGCAGACACAGGAGGCAAAAAAGGGGGAAAAAATACAGACATGGAAACCAGAAATCCCTTGTTACAGACATGATTTTTCTACCTGGAATAAAAAAGAACAAGAAAATCTACCAAAGACAACAGGAAAAGTTTTTGGTTTGTTTTTTTTAGCTCAGCAAGGTGACTGGTCATAAAATCCATCTATAAAAAGAAACTGAGTGGCCTGTCAGCTGTGACTTTAGAAAATTCTGACAAAGATATTCTAATTATAAGAGCAGAACATTTTAAAGCACTGGGGTACTTTTCAACACCCATAGCTTAGATGAAAAAAAGGTTTCCTGGGAAGTGCAAAAAAGATGAGCTGATGGTGAAAAGACATTGTCACCACCCGGGGAAGAGCACTGCAAACTGACTCCCGCCAGTCAAGGTGAAAGTGTTACTGGGAGGACATGGGCACCTCCCCAGTTCCTGAAGCGCAATCAGGTGAGAATGGCAAGTACAATTTTTCCAAAAAGAAGAAAAATGCTGGGACTTACTCTACCACCTTGTAAAGCTGATAGTGTTAAAATATTAGGGTATGATGGACTGGAGGTGTGGCTCCAGCCGTGCAGTGCCTGCTTTTCGAGCTCGAAGCCCCGAGTTCAAATCCCAGTCCCACCTAAAAAGAAAAAAGAGTGTGAGTGGAGGAAAAGGCAGAGTCGTGGAATGAACAGAAAACCCAGGTACAAGCAATCATTTGTTTATAATAAAGGGAGCATTTGGAATACAGAATAAAGAAACGGTGGATAATTAAATAATTGAATACCTTCCTAGGAAACCAGCAAGCCATGTTTAGCAATAAGCAAATGTTCTCGCTACTACCTTATATCCACAATAACCAGAGAGGCCCACTATTTTAATATAAAAGAACTAGAAGTCCCACATGAATATCTGATCTTGGAATGGAAAAAGCACAGAACCAAAGTTAAAATAAAAAGAATGATGACCGCTCTCTGAGAACATGGAAAATTCTGTACATCAAAAAGCCACAAAGTTGACAAACCAGTTAGAATAGCTGACATGTAATCATAGCCAGGGCTGGCACTCCCCGCGGGACGCCGTCTTGACAGAGGGTCAGATCTCTCTCCCTTATCTTCGCACCTCCTTGACATAGCCTCTAGCACCCAATACGTGCTTCAAAACATCTTGTGAATAAATTAATAAACTTCAAAGCATATTCGAAATAAGCACAGTGAACAACTAGTTCAAGGGAAATGAAGTAAAAATAGTCAATGCATATACTTAAAGCCTCAGCGAGAACTCAAAGCATATTAAAATAGAAGCAAAGTCTCACTTATCTATCGGATTACAAAGGTATCGTTAAGCTGGCGGAGTAGCTCAAGGGGTAGAGCACTTGCCTGGCAAGCATGAGGTCCTGAGTTCAAACCTCAGTACTGCCCCCAAAAAAGTCTCATGTACAAAGATTCTGTTAATAGCATGTGGTCAATTAAAATCATGAGGGATTAATAATTAAAGTTAGTATCATATATTACATTTTGAAATCATTTTATAAAGTAGCATTAAAATAAATCTCAATTTTATATATGCTCAAATATATGAAACTCTAAAGGATTCAAATACTCCTTTGCAAAATCTGTAAGTAAAGGACATCCCCTAGGATATCCTAGGATGTATACCGTCTGGTGTTCGATCTTGGTTTAGCCATTGTTCTGTCACATCACTGAGTGATCTCACTAATCCCTGCTCCCTTTTTCTAACTTGCAAAGTAGACAGAATTATCCCCAATACCCATCAGATGTCTGTGGTTGGAAGAATTACTTAAGTACCCCTTAAAGAAAAACAAAGTGTGTACAAGTAGCTTCCTAAAACAGACAACATGTTTTCCCCATCAGTCATTTGGAGAAAATCCCATGCAAGTTACAAGCAATGGAAATCCTGAGAGCAACCAAAGTTGACCTTCAAGTCGTTTCCTTGATGATGGGAACTCAGACAAGAAAGAGCCCAGGCACACATGGCTGTAAAGGCTTGTACAGCACATATTTTTAAAGAAGCACATATTTTAATATAAACATGTGTTCCCTAGTTCTCTTTGTTGAGGAGGCCCCTAAGCAATGACACTCTGTAACAATGAGCAGCCCTGCACCCAGACGTGGTTTCTAAACCCCATTCCCCAATGGAAGGACCCAGTCTCCACAAGAAATGGTTGGTCCAGGACTGGAAAAGAGAAAAATAGAAGATGATCCTGGATCCTGAATGGGGCATATCAAAAGGTCACAGGAGTCAGCCAGAAGGAGATCCAATCACCAAAGCTAAAGTGATTTAAGCAATAAAGAAAGATCATGCTAAATGGACATCAACCACATGTAGTAATGAGTACATCCTGAAAGAACTAAGCCATCAGATACACAGATGGATGCAGGAAGAGGGCGTCTTCCTTACGGAGTTCAGTTAATACAGACAGAGGGAGTAAAGGTAATGCAGAATCATCAGTAGACAAACATCACAGTCACAACTTTCCCAATCAGCAGAGAAACTTGACCAAGCACCCAAGGTTAGTGTCACCAATGATAAGACGCCTCCCCGATGACGCTCTGGGAAGGGCATGACGTCACTTCTGCTGCATTCTTGTCAAAACTCGTAACTTCACTCTAGCAGTGAGCAAACCAGGGACCGTCCCTGAATGACTGACCAGCACCTCGTCAGCAGGGTGGCGATCCCGAGGAGACATGCAACTCAGTGCCACGTGGGGTGGACCGGTGACGTCTGAGCGAGCGCCGTACTTAGCTGTTAGCACTGTTCTGCAGCCACGCTGGTTCCCTGGCTTTGGTCATTTTCTGGGTATGAACTTGTTCATATGAAGGACAGCCGGGTAAAAGGTGCCCGTGAGCCCTGTGTTATTTCTGTAAGCCTAAAATTATTCAGAGGCATAAAGAGAACCTCAGCTGCTCTTTTCATACTCCTGCCTGGCACTTCCTTTTTCCAAATTTAAAATAGCAACAGAATCTGTGGGAATTTTAAATATCCAGCCAGAATCTCAGCTTGCCTTTATTCAGAATAATGTCCCATTTGCCTCAGTCCATGCATGGGGACGCATCACCATCCCTCACTGAGGACAAAATGTGAGGTCACCCAGGAGATCTGAAGATAGGGAGGACTTCTAGTGCCTCTCTCCAGTGCCCGACTGTAGCCCCTTGCTTGCCCTCTGACCCCTTCATCTTCTGAGAAAACTCTTCTCATGGCTTCCATTAGCCATGGGGTGACAGAGCTTGACCTCCTGGTCCCCACTCTGTGCTTCCGTGTCTCTCTCCAGGAGATGATGGACATTGTCAAAGCCATCTATGACATGATGGGGAAGTACACATACCCCGTGCTCAAGGAGGACACGCCAAGGCAGCACGTGGACGTCTTCTTCCAGGTAAGTGCACACACCTGCACGCGAGCCTTACCTCCAACCCGCCGGGAGCGAGTGGAAGGTGGCCGGCCCTGTGCTAAGGATGCAGGAAACAGGAAGTGGTAAGAGGACAGCTCGCCCTCAAAGAATCGGGGCTCCTGCGCGCACACAAGTGCCTGCTACAGAAGGGAAGGGAGAAGTGCGTTGTGATTAGTTCTAAGTGGGACAGGACGGGCTGGCAGTCCCATAAAAGTTCTTGGAAGAGCTGAGTAGACAGAGAAGACTCGTTGATCACTGTATTGAGCGTTGAGCATTTGGGTGTGAGAGGAAAAGACGCAGCTGGGGACAAGGGTAAGGCAGACTGGGCGCCTCTAAACAGAAGGGTTGAAACTTGCTCTGGTTAAGGGCGGTGGCCATGTTGACCCCTGAGTAGGGAGTGGGGTCATCATAGCAGCACATTAACTAGAAAATCACTCCAGCAGTAGCTATCAGACTGTCAGAGCCGTGCTGCCCCAGTCCTCCCACTTTGCAGCAGGGAAAACAGAGGTCTCTCTGGCCTCCTGAGAGTTTCCACAGTGAGTGACAGAGACAGACCAGCACCTCTCCTGTCCAGTGTTCTTCCTGCCAGATGGACAGGAGAAGAGAAGGTCTAGGGAACACATGTGCTGTGGTTTAGAAGTGGTGGCGCAAGTGTGTGTTCCAAGGGTTCATGTGTTGGAGGCTTGGTCCTCCATGTGGCTGAGTTAAAGATGGCGGAACTTTTAATGGATGGACCTAGGAGGAGGTAACTATGTCATTGGTCCACCACCTCAGAATGGATTAATGCCATAGTTCTCATGAGAGTGAGTTGCTGTGGAAAAAAGAGCAAGACTATTAGCAAGCACAAGGCCCTGAGTTCAAAACCCAGCACTGAAAAAAAAAAAAAAAGAAGAGCAAGACTGGTCCTCCCTGATCCCTGGCTTCCTGACACATCACGTGATCTTCTTCTAACCGAGAGACCACCCACCATGAGGCCCTCACCATAGCCAACCTAGCCTGCACCATGCTTTTATAAAGGACCAGACTCAGGAACTTTGCTATAGTAACAGAAAACAGACAAACACGACATGTCAGGAAAATTGTAGCAATGAGTTAAGTGTCTAGGTTCAGTTTTTTGATTAAGAAAGCTTGTGAGGGTCAAAGTCCTATAACCAGGATCCCACTGGAGTTGTCTGGCCAACAAAGACCACCCCAGTCCTCGGGCAAGGTTGGTTGACAATAGCAGATGTTGGAATACAGGTAACAAACTGCTTCAATGTGCTCTTTTGTGTCTTCCAGAAAATGGACAAAAATAAAGATGGCGTTGTAACTTTAGATGAATTTCTTGAATCCTGTCAGGAGGTAAGGAGAGATCTCAGGGCCCTGTACCTCCAAGTTGGGGGAAGGAAATCTGGGGTTTGGGCACCTGAAGGAAGGGGGGAAAAAACCCAGCAGCCTATGCCCTCGAATCAGAGCCAACAGCAGGCCCAGTGCCACCAGCAGTGACGAAGTCCCACTCTCCACTCCCCACCTGACCCACAGGTGGCCCTGGCTCAGAGCAGGACAGCGCAGACAGCCCCAGTACAGGTGTGGGAGATGTGGAAATGCAGAGCATCTCCAGGAACCAGTTCCAATGTGGGCGACAGCCTCCAGGGGAACACTGGAAAAATTTAACTGAGATCCTCAAGCACAGCGTGCATAAAAGTTGCCTGCTGTGACTGACGATCCCAGAGACTCTGGCTCTAGGGTGGCGTCTAGAAATTGTCCTGATGGCACCAATGCCCTGGGGCAATGCTGCTAAGGCTTTAGTGTGCAAACCACCTCCTGGAGGTTCAGCTTCCACAGTTCTGGGTGGAGGCCAAGGCACTCACGCTCTCCCAGGTCGGGCTGTGCTGTGGGTCCTCCAGCCAGACTTCCCTTATGTCTAATGCAAAGACCAGCCCCAGAGTCTCTGCTGGAGCCAGAGCTGGAAATGATTGGAGAAATGCATTTACACCCCCACCTTACTTCAGAAAATGCACAGAAACTCAGCTCCACCTGAGACCTGCAAAGCCGGAAGTGGAGGAGAGTTTGCTAATACGTGGGGAGCACCTGCCAGGTTTCAGGCAGGTCACAACCCTGGGACGTTAGGTGGCAGTAAAAATACTTAACAATGAGAATAGGCTGACCTTGGCCACTTGTATCTGACCTTGACCAATGCCCTTGTCTGGTGCACTAGCTTATCTCTGCTAAGTTTAGCAGAACTGGGAACTGGACTCAGGTAAGCCCTCTATCACGTGAGCCATGCCCCAGTCCTCCCCTGCTGTTTGGTCTTAACCCACCAGTGGACAGGCCCTTTGTGTGTAGGGGGCAGGTGACCAGGGACCTAGGCAAGTTTGCTAGGGAGCCAGGAGAAGATGCTGGGGTAGAGAGGAGGCTCCACTGGCCGGATTAGAAAAATTTTCACATTTAGTCAGTATGTGCTTGCTGAGCCCCACTACCACGCACGCCCATTGTCAAGACCTTGCTCTTACTGTGGCCAAGCCGCTGACAGACTCATCGCAGGTGTTCGCTGTGGCTCCATCACACACAGAGACGCACCGCGCCCTGCTGAAGCGTCCGCTTCCCAGGTTAGAAGGGTTCAGGATCGGTTTAGCGTCTCACGTTAGAGACTTCCATAGCTAGTCACTAAGTAACCCACCCCACAGAGAGATAGTATGTTCAACCCTTTTGTACACGAGGAAACTGAGGCACAGAGAGATCAACAACTTGTCCAGGTCACACAGCTAATGAATGACAGACCCAGGATTTGAATCCAGAGCCCACGTGATTACGAACGGCAACGCCTCCCCACTCAGCAGCCTATGAAGACTTCACGGGCTCAGAATCAACTTTCACCTGCTTTTTATCTCATTCATCTGTGACTTAAATTATTTTTTGCTTCTGCTTTTTTAATTTTTAATCTTCTAGGGTTTTTTCCCGACTTTCCGAGATGAAATTTTGTAATATTGATATTCAATCATCTTTTTCTAATGTCTATCTTTATATTCAGAGTAGATTTCCCTCTGAGGACCACTTTAGCTAAGTACTGCATTAGCTAAGTACCACTTTAGCTAAGTACTGCTTTAGGGTCCATAAATTTTGATGTGTGGCATCTTTGTTTTTGTGTGTGTGTGTGCGTGTGGTTCCAGGGATGGAACCCAGGGTCTCACACGTGCTGGACAAGCGCTCTACCACTCGAGACATGCCCAGCCCTTTTGTTTGTGTTTTGCTTTTGAGACAGGGTCTCGCTAACTTTCCCCATACTGGCCTTCAATTTATAATCCTCCCCAAGTAGCTGGGATTCCCTCCACCTCCCAAGTAGCTGGGATTACAGGCGTATTCCGCCACACCTGGCTTATTTTTGATATATTTTTCTGATGCATGGCTTAGAAGTGTATTGCTTGATAGGCAAACATTTGAAGACATTCTATGTTCAATTCTTCCACCGTAGAGAGTATGTGATAGAAAAATGTAAAACCAAGATGTGCAATAACAGATAAGCCAAGAGTTCTCTCTTTGAAAAGGAGATAATTAAAAGATTGATAAATGCTTACTGAGGCCAATTAAAAAGAGACAAAACTCAAACATCAACATCAGAAATGAAATGGATAATCTCCCTACAGGCTCTGCAGACATTAATATTAAATGTAGAAATTCCTTACACAACACAACTTATCAAAACTAATCCAAAAAGACACAAACTCAAAATAGTCCTATGTCCAGTAAAGACATTGAGCCTATTATTAAAAACTCTCCCCAGGCTCACACAGCTACATGGGTACATTCTCCCAAACATTAGGGAAGAAATTATACCAATCTTATACAAACGCAAGGGAATTAAGAAAAAGGAGAGACTTCTTAACTTGACTTCGGAGGCTATCATAACCCTAATGTGGAAACTTGTAAGACTGGTTTAACATTCAAGAAGTCAGTGTAAGGCAGGTGCCTGTGACTTACACCTGTAATCCTAGCTACTTATGAGGCAGAGATCAAAAGGATCGAGGTTCGAGGCCAGCCCGGACAAATAGTTCATGAGACTCTATCTCCAAAATAACCAGAGCAAAATGGACTACAGGTGTGGCTGTGGAGAGCAGACTATGAAAAGCCTATGAGAACTGCACGTAAGCAAGGCGAGATGCGGCTTAATTGCTTTTACCTGTAGGCGGAGATAGGCACAGCCCTGGTCGTGAAACAGGAAAAAAAGAGAGTCTCCTAAGCTTGCATTCAGAGAAGCAGAATGCAGGTTTCTCCTGTTACCACGTCACGCCCTTCCCTCCCAGAGCCTCTGCTCCATGCTGTTTGCCGCTGTTTATAAAAGGCCCCTGAAGGAGGGCTTGAGGCTTTTGCTTTTTGCATTTGGCTTTGGTTTGGAGGGCTTTGGGGGCTTGGGTTTTTTGGGGGCTTGGCTTGATTCTTTTGCTTTGGGCTTTTTGGTGTGGGAAGCTTTTGGAAGGGAAAAGAATTACTGAAGGGAAAAGAATTGCTAAAGGGAAATTGCTGAAGGGAAAAGTGTGGCTAAAGGGGTTGATAGAAAGTCTGCACCAAGAACTTACACAGGCTTTAGAAGCTAAAGACCCAAGCCTTGTATGCACATATGAATAATAAAACATAAAAAAAAAAAGCTAAAGAAAAGCCAAAGATAACATGGGACAGTGCAGGATAAAGGACTGAGACCTTGCAAATCTGAGCACCAAGGTTTTAAGAAAGCTAAAGAGAGAATGCTAAAGAAAAGCTGCAAGCCTGGGGCAAAAGACTTTAAGACCAATTAGGCTAAAGATAGCAAAGAGCAAACATGGGACAGTGCCAGTCTCAGGAAAGAGGTTAGAAGCAAGGCCTAATAAATAAAGGTAGAGAAAAGAAGCAATTAGGGTTGGGCATCTCCACCCAAGTGCCCAGCACACCTGACCCCATTTTCTGTCTGTCTATCCTGTGTCTTTTCTGAATCTCCAGTCTCCCCAAGTTAAGTAAGCCCAGGTAGGTTCAGTAATAACCAGGAGCGAGAGAAAGCTTGATCTAACAAGGGAGAGAGGGAAAAAACAGCCTCCCCTGCATGTGGCTCAAGCAGCAGAGTGTCTGCTTTGCAAGTGTGAAGTCCTGAGTTCAAACCCCAGTCCCACAATACAAAAATTAAAAAAGAATTAGCCAGTATAATTAATCCCATTAAGTGAATACAAAAGAAAAAATGTGATCACCTCTGTAGACGTAGAAAACCCATCTGATACGATGGAACGGCCCAGAGTTCTTAAGGAAAATGCACTGTTTGCAGGGTAGTTTGCATCTCCCGAGTTTCGCCTGCACAGGGCGACTCTCAGTCCCCACTGGCTGCGTGTCTCCCGTACCTTGTGGGCTTGGTCCTGCAGAGGAACTGCGCTTGCAAGTTGAGCGCCAGCCAGAGCTGCTCAGGAAAGAGCCTCCAAAGCCCTAACCACCCTCTGTCCCCCCTCTTCCCAGGATGACAACCTCATGAGGTCTCTCCAGCTGTTCCAAAATGTCATGTAATGCAGGACGGCCAGCCATCCAGCCATCGGCTCTCAGACACTGTACTCCACAGCCACCGTAACACCCTGGCCTGCCCTCCTTCCGATTTTTCACACCAACCTTGGGACAGAACTCCTTTTACACTTGGGAAGAATTCTCCCCTGAAGAATTTCTATGAAACCCGACACCACGTGGCTCAGTCTCTGACTGCCTACTTGTCCCCTGAGAGAGCCCAGCTGAAGTCTGAGTCTGTTTGGAAGCATGCCCATCTCCTCCCAGTGCTGCCTGGGGACGGTCCCCATGCTTGAGCTTAAACGCTAGTGCCCAGTTTTCTGCTTACATCCCCCCAGCTGCACACCCTGGTGTCCTGGAAGCCAGAGGACCTGAGCCAATGGCACGCTGTCCTCTGATGGCCTCTTAAACCAATGTGCCTGTTCCTCTTCCTCGGCTGGGAAGAAAGAGTTACACAGAACAATTAGAATCAACACGATTGGACTGGGAGAGGCAGCACCAACCCACGTAGAATAGGACTGAATTATCAAGCATGGCGTTGTCCAATGACCCAAAATGCCCAAGCTGTTGGTTTGCAAAGGCAAGGATCAAACTTTGTCCCCCACTCCCATCTGTGCTAGGAGCACAAGTCCCTTCACGTGCCCGGGAAGGGAGCCACTGCCCAGCAGTCCTCCTTGCTCCTCGCCATCCCCTGCTCAGGCCCAGCATGTGTGTCCTTCCCAGAATGCTGCAAGACGCTGTAATTTTATACCACGTTCTAACCAATAAACAGAACGATTTCTTACACGCTCCACCGTTTCTTCATGGCTCCATTGGGCAGGAAAGTAGGTGTGACGAGGGAAGCCCAGTCCTTTCAGCTGGCATCTGGTCATTAGTACTTACCTAGTGCCAGGCACTGTGCCAGGAAGTGACATCATCCTCCCCAGCCCCAAACCATCCATGCAACAGCCAATCAAATGCGAACACTGTGGCCATCTGCAAATGCGACTGCAAGACAAGACCCTTGACCACACCTCCCTCCAGCAAGATTGCCACTCCCAGGACTCTCCAAGGTGAAAACCTGGAGCCCTGCATGATGCTGGGGACACGGCAATGGAGAGGTAGCCAGGGCCTCCTGCCGAGGGTCTTGGAGCCCAGCGGTTGATCAAGGGGCTTCACTCACCTTAAACCAAGCGCCAGTCCAGTTGGTTTCCTCACTTGACATCCCATTGAAAAGACTAAGCTAACAGTAGCATTCCTGGAAGGAAAGCAGTTCACTGAGCCCCTGTTGTGTGCAGGGTGCGTCACTATTTCATGCTTAACGACAGAGCAGCCAGAAGACAGCGTCCTGGTCTTACTGATGAGGACACTGAAGCTCAGAGATTAGGGGACCTGCCTCACGTACAACAGTTGCTAGATGCTCTATAAATAAAGGTTAGTCTTCCCAACCCATGAGGGGATTGCCATTGACCCAAGAAACTGAGGCACCTCCCTCAAGTCTCATTCACCCACAGTCAGCTCAGAGACACATGGGAAGTCTGAACCCATGTAACAGGTGAGGAAAGTGACACGGAGAAGGGGACTATCCCGTATAGCCATGAAACACCAGCAGGGGCAGACTCCGCATGTCTGCACACGTGGGAACGTCCCCATTGGATGGCTGCTGCCTTTCACAGTTGGAAACTGAAGGGGCTACAGCTGTCCCTCTATCTGGATATCCTGGGTGCAGACATGTGGCCAGTCCCCAACCAGGCATCGCCCTGGACCTGAGCAAGGAGTCTGCACTCACGGCCCTTTCCCATGTGTCGTATGCACCCCTCACCAGGCTTTGGGAACTGCTGGCCGGTGACACCCTGCTCCTGGTACACACTGGAGTTGTCTGGGGAACCCCAGAAAAGGCCGGTGCCTGCACCACCCACGCCAGACCAATCAAAGGGAACTCTGAAGATGCGGCCGGGCACCTGCACTGTGTTGCCCAGGGCTTGAGACGTTCACATGGGCGCACGGAGCCGAGACAGGGAACCAACCACGCTAGCGCTAGGAGGGAGCCCGTGACTGAGCCATCCTGGAGCCACAGTGACTGACTCTGGATAGGACTAAGACCTAAGGCAACTCAAACAACTTGAGCTGAGAACATGGGACGAAGATGTTCTCTCTCCTACCAGGCAAGAATGAGAAGACACATGCCCTATTGGCAGTCACTTAGGAATTCTGAGAGCTTATCTGCTAACTACAGGGCTAACAAAACACATATTTATAAAGCAAGGGAGAGCAATTAGAAAACGGAGAAGTTAGAAGTTGAGCTCTTGATGACATCATTAAGCTGCCAGATCAAGCCTCTCACCTGAAGTTGATCCCTCCGACAGATGCTTGCGTAAGGTCTAGGTCAGTATTTGTCAACTGGGACTGGAGCGTATGCCATCCTGGGGAGCAGGGAAGGGGAGTGTTTCAGATGAACTGAGTCAACGTCGCTGGAGGTGGGGTCCCGAGTGTCATGAGCCTCGTACTCTCCAGGCATCTAATGGACACCCAGGGCTGAGCGTCCCTGCTCTAGCAAGAAGAAGGGCTGTGTCGCTCTCCCTGTGTTGGCTGGACCACAGGTCAGAAACCAAAATAAGCCCTGTGCACCCAACACGAAGAGGAAAACCATCAGCTGGAGATTCAGACAGACATGGAGGCGTGGGGTCCAAATAGCTTTCAGATGGATCAGCAGCAGAAAGGGAAATGACTGTCCTGGCAGGTGGCGGGGGGACAGTTGCCACAAGGAGAGGGCTTTGTCCCACCTCCAGCTTGTCTTCCTGAATCATCCAACAAATGACTGCCATCTTCCTTGCATCACACCTGCTGATGGCGACTCGGGTGTGTCAGCTATGCAGCTGCTGTGGCCGCCTCACCCACATCCTGACGGGGACTGGGCTGTGTGCAGATTCTGTGGCTGCTTTGCCCATAACCCCTTGGTCCTCGCTATTACCTTGCGAGGCAGACTCAACCCCGCCAACTACCAGTGCCTGAGGGCTTTTGTGTGTGACTTGACTGTTACAGACAGCGCCTGGCCACGAAGACCCCATTCCACCGTGGACAGAATGGCGGGAAGAAGCTGATGGGAGCTTGGGGATCAACATGCCAGACCCCTCTGCTCTCGATAGGAAGAATTCAGCTCTCCTCACCTCCCAGGCTTCCCAGGAAGATCAGCCCTCACTGAGGCACTAAACCTACGGTGTGTGTCCTGCTTTGGTGAGCTTTGGGTTCTAGTGGGAGGAAACTGCTGCCTCGTAGAACAGGTTTAGGTAAAGTGACAAGAAGACAATAAATGCATGGCGTGGTAAGGACTCTAGGGTGGCTGGGGAGGCGACTTCAGACCGTGATGGGCCAGGCTTCTCTGCAGAGAAGACAGCTGGACTCGACGTTGTCTCGGGTTAAGCTCTCCGTGCAGCGTCTCACTGAGTCTGGCTGTGTCTGGCTGTGGTCTCGATGTGTTCCCCGCTGCTCACGTGTGCGAAGATTGGTCCTAGCATGTGACGTGGGGGGTGGTGCAAAGTAACCCGGTCATCACGGGTGCTGCTCTTGGAAGGAACGGATGCAGTTCTCCTGGGGCCTCCGGTTGGCCCTCCAGACGGGGTTGTTGTTAAAGAGCAAGATGGCCACTCTTCACCCTGGCCGCCTGTCTTGTCATGGGACCTCCCCCTCCCACGTGCTCCCTCTGTGATGCCATCTGCCATCAGGGTCTCACCAGAAACTGAGTCAAGGGAGTCACCCGATCTGGGACTTTCTGCCTCCAAAACTGTGAGCCCAATAAACATCTTTTTTATAAGGCACCCTGCTTCCCAGTATTTTCTTCCAGCAGTGAAAAGCACATCAATACAGGCCTCATCACAGTCCTGTGAGCTGGGTGTCCATCCTTTCAGATGAAAAACTGGTGCCCAGAGATCTGGAGACCTTGCCTACACAGCTGCAAATGGGTTTCAAGATGTGCCACGGTCCAAAACCCACGTTCTGCTTTATTTCTTAGAGGGGCCGAAGACCGTTCTCCACCTCCTCCAGAAACTAGTTCTGTTGATACCTGAACAGCAGAAGCTGTTGGAAAGCGGCTGCTATGAGAACTAGTGAACACCAGCTGCGACTCCAAGCCTGACACCTCTTCCTCTGAAGGGGACAATGCCAAGGACACATGCATGATGTAATCCACATGGAAGTAATCCACAGAGCTCAACAAAAGCTCCGTGCCCCAATCTAGTGGCCAAGTGGGGATCAATGAAACTTAGGACTCACAGAGCGGGGGGCCCTGGAGACAGACAACCCCACCGGGTGGAATTCGGAAAACCCATGAGGTGCTGGGGACCTAATGATGTCCCCAGTTCTAAGAATCAGACACTGGAGCCAGGCCAAGCCAGTCACTACCTCCCAGCCCCTGGCCATAGTGACCCGTTCAGGGACAGATTAAAACCTAAGTTCTCCAAACCTCAGAGTGTTAGGGGCTCGCCCAAGAAAACTGCAACAAAATAGTTCATGTTTCTGATGGCCGGGCTGAAAACCCACGCCACTCACCTGCAGGAAAGCTGATGGACAGATAGACTTACAGGGGTCAAGGCGAGAGCGGGAAGGACATGGCCCCTGGATGACGTCTTGGAACACGGGATCCAGCTCCATCGGAAGCTTCGTGCCCACTGGTGTTTGGGGTTTCGTGCACACAGAGCCCACCGTGTCCAACTTTTTCTGTCTGAGAGTGTGTAACTTACGACTTGACCCATGCTACCTCACCACTGCGTACGACAGGCGGGAGCAAACCCCAGAGCCATGCAGCAGGGTAGACGCAGAGCTGGGACAAGAAACCCAGCGTGGGGCCGAGTCACATGACCTTGCAGCCATTACAGGACAGGGGCTCACATATCTACTGAGCACCCACGGCTGCTGACCAGTCACGTGTTCACCCTGTCCTATCTCGCTACCGCCAGGCCGTTCTATTCCTCACGAGGAACCCGGGCTCAGGCAGCGTACACATGTGGTTGTCATCAAATAACAGCGAGCATCGAGCAATCAGGTGAACCAGGATTATCTGATTTATAGTCCTAAGCTCCACCCCAGGAAATGCCAGATTCAGTGTGCACACAGAGCCAGGCAGGTTAAGGAAACGAGTGGCAATCCAGAATCCACACCCCACGTAA